ATATATATATATATATATATATATATATATATATATATATATATACACACACACCCCGGACTTCTCTCCATCTCACAGATATTGAGAAATAACACATAAAATTTAAAAAAATCTACAAACGTTTATCTTAAAAGCAGCTGTGGGGGTAGAAATGCTTAAGTATTGAAGTCTCAGTATTTAGCAATGTCAGATGTTTCAGTGTTTCATGAATTAATGAATTCCTTTGATTTGGAAGGCATCGTCCAATGCCTGGGAGCTCAACAGAAGAAGAGGAAGCCAAATGGAATAGGAAAAGGAAAGGCCAGAATTCCCCACATTCTTGTCTCCGTGAGCGGGGGAAGAGAGGACTAAAGTCCCCGGGAAACCCACTGTACGCTATTTGTTTTAAAGGGGAGTGGGCGGAGTCATGCCTTTAACCCCGCCCAGAACTGAAGGAACCCGCGGCCAATGAAAGGGGCGGAGCGACCTGCGTGCGGCGTGACGCCACCGCATTGCGACCGGTACTCCGTGAGGCGTGCGCCGCAATAGTGGAGCTGGAGGTGAGTGTGGGCTAGGCGCGGCAGCAGCATGGAGAGTATATGGGGTCTGAGGCGCCAACTTGTTACAGTCATCAGGCAGAGTGGAGTCGCCTGACCTCGATGTTGTACGTGGTGGAGTGATCAATCACCCCCCCACACATCCACCTTCCCCAGGCCGAGCGGGATGGACTCAGTATTACTAACCTCGAAAGCAGCCCTACGGCAAGGTCTCCCTCACTGGGGCGGACATCCCTGCCGGTTCCCCTAGGCCTTGAGCTCCGCCAGTAGCCGAGCCTTTAGCCTTGGGAGAGGCAGCCCAGCGGGATGAAAAGAAATAAGGAACACCAGCGTTTTTATTCGCCCTTTTGAGCGCTTACAAGTTAAATGCTCGAAGCACTCCTGTGAATGGGCCCTGTTATTCTTATTTTGCAGAGGGGGTAACTGAGGCTTAGAGGGGTTAGAATTACAGCTTTGCAAACAGTGTAAGGATGGGAGGTTGGGTAGTTAAGGAGATAGGGAAACGTAAGCATCTCTGAAGTGGTGACTCCAAAAGGACAACAAAAACTGTCTCTTAACTTCGGCAGTACTAGTGACAAAATTCATTTGGCAAGTCAATAACCACCAGAATATTAAACTTTGAAATTTGTTTTTCAGGTGACTAAAGCCACCTGAAATGTCAATTGCTCGTTCATCTGTCCACGCCAAATGGATTGTGGGGAAGGTGATTGGGACAGCAATGCAAAAAACTGCTAAAGTGAGAGTGACCAGACTTGTTCTGGATCCTTATTTATTAAAGGTGAGAAACATCCCTGTTTTTAGTTGGCATTGATAAATCACCATCAGGTTCTGCGTTCTGAGCAGAAAAACACTTCCCTATCAGTCAAAATGCATTGAGCGTCTGCTGCAAACCAGGTACTGTCCTGGTCCGTGGGTGTAACAAAAGTGAATTAAGCATGATTTGTATTCACATTCTAGGGACATGCAGAGTTCATTTCAATTCAATCTGATAAGTGCTGTAGTCTTTTTATGTGCAATAAATGCATTGTGGGAGCAAAGAGCGGGACACCTCATTCTTCCCAGGTTGTTGAAGGAGAGCATCCTCAATTAGCCATTTGAGCTGAATCTCAAAAAGGATTTTATCCAGAGGACCAGGTTGGGAAAGTCATTCTGGCCGTGATGAGAAGTTTGCAGAAGTTCTTTTATCCATGAAAGTGAATGACGTCCTACAGGAACAGCAGGTGTTCCTGGCACTAAGGCACTTGAATAAGTGCAAGAACAATCAGAGCTGCACTGAGAAGGGTATTTTATGTTGTATTTTGGATTTCATCTTACAAACAAAGGAAAGACAGACTTGGAGATGGGTAGGGATGAGGATTGAAGGCAAGGAAATAGGTTAGGAGGCTATTACAAAAGTCTAGGATGAAAATGATAAGGACTCGAACGGTCCTTGGAGCAATGGGGATGTAGTGGGAAAAGTAGATTTCAGAAAAAAGGAATACAGTCCTTGATTTGTTAGATGTGTAAGGGAGGGAAGGGAAGTGCCAAGGATATTTCTGTATTCAGGGGTGGGCACACAGGATGGTAGAAATGCTGGTTGTTATTGGGGATCAAAAAACATGATGAAACATGATGGCATGATCATTGGCCTTTGAATTAGACGATCTTAGTGTGAATACTGACTGTTGTTTTCCAGCTATGCACATTACGTAACCTCCCTGAGCCTGTTTTTCTTATCTGTAAATGGGAATGCCTACTGTGGCAGGGTTGTTTTGAGGAATAGATGATTCTAGTTATTATTTGTGGCTTTTTGCAATACTTTGAGCCAGGCACAGAGCTGAGTGCTTTATGGACATTATAATGTTTCATTCTCTTGATAACTTTAGAGTTACAGATATTGGAGCTTCATTTTATGGTGGAGTTTGGAGTTGTTAAGTGACTTGTCCTAAATCACACTGCTAGTGGTGAGAGTAGCATGTTTGTAGGCTGGAGAGAATGCTCTACTGGGAAGAATTTAAATATTGTAGGGAAGCATGATCATTGATAAGAGTAAGAGTTCTGAAGGTAATAGACTGGAGAGCTCAGGGATGGGATCAGCTCTGGAAAAGTCATTGCTGTTTTCCAGAAATTAACCAGCTAATTGGTGTATTGGAAACCTCCTTCAGCATGTTACAGTTTTTTCCCCAAATTCTAGCTTGTTTTCTGTGCATTACTTTTTCATATTCTGTACTGCATTGCCAGATCACAGATGGAAACTACTGATTTGTACCTCATTCTCTCAACAGTATTTTAATAAACGAAAAACCTACTTTGCTCACGATGCTCTTCAAAAGTGCACAGTTGGGGATATTGTACTTCTTAAAGCTTTACCTGTTCCACGAACGAAACATGTGAAACATGAGCTGGCTGAGATCATTTTCAAAGTTGGACAAGTCATAGATCCAGTGACGGGAAAACCCTGTGCAGGAACTACCTACCTGAAGAATCCAGTTAGTTTGGAAACCACCCACCTAACCAAAAACCTGGAAAAACTCATTATCTCTTCAGAACAATGAAGGAGGATTAGAAATAGAAGCCAAAGGGAAAGATTTATGAGTTTGCTTTAAGGAAAAAGATATTTTTCTAAGTTTCATCACAAACTGACCAATTTATCTTCTGGTATTTGTGAAATAGTGAAAAGTAAATGAATAAAGCGTTTGTTATAATTTTCCATGAAGGTTTATGGTCATGTTTCAAATTTCCTTTTCAATGAACATACTTTCCTGTTACACTAAGTGTGCCTAACAACCTGCTGCATTATTTTTTAAGCTCACTGTTTTAGATGTGTTTTTTCTTTTTTTTTTTTTTCATTCAAAGGAATCTTGAATTTATCTTAGAATCTTTATTTTGGGAGAAGAAATCCTTTAGATATAAACAGATAAGTTCACATTAAGTGACTATTCTTGATGGTATGTACTCAAAATTAATTTAATTTTTTTCTCTGATTTAACCAGTTCCAAATGGAAATAATCAGCATGCTTGGGGTCAGACTATATCAGATTAAAGCCTGTAATTAAATATCAGATTAAAGTCTAATTAATAAGAAAATAAAACTTTAAAATTCTTTGTTATTTTTTTAATCCTGTATCCTAGGCTACATTAAATAGGAGTGAGTTCTTAAAATCTGATACATTGATGAAGTCATAGAACTTCTCACATGTGCATTTGAATTGGAGAGTTTCAGAGTTTTATTGCTGTCTATTAATAAACTGTGAATACTTAAATTTTGACCTGCGTAAACATTGAGTTATATATTTCAGTTTTCTGGCTCCTAGAAAGAGATTTGGAGCATATTTCAACCTCAACTAATATGTGTATTATACAAGTATAGGGTTTTAACAATGACCATAGGTACTGCCCACCCTCTCAGGGCTCAATCCAGTGGGGGAGGTATACACAGGTGCTTCATGGCAAACAGAGAAGCACTTGGATGGGAGGAAATTAGGGTAATTTTTTTGAAGCGATATTTGGTGTTAGAACTGAATCTTAAAAGAAAAGTCTCCAGGCCAATAGATGAGGGTTGTGGAAAGGGCATTGCAGGCAGAGTGAAGGGAGTATAAAGTCCTTCAGGTAAGAGAAAGCATAACCAAGGGGTTCTGGAAGCTGGTGAGGATTGCTGGGACATTTTGAACAAGGGTGGAAATCAGGTAGAGAAATAGGAGTAAGTGGTGGTGGCTTATTTAAAATTTATAATTAGATTCACATTTCAACACAAGTAATAGCATCAGTATAGACAACAGATTGGAAGGAGAAAGATTAGAGGTAGGGAGACAGTGTACCTATTCAAAGACTAGTCCTAAGACATAAACTGAGTTGGGCAGGGAAGATGAAAAGTGGTTGGATAGGTGATGTTCCAAAGTAAATCTCTCAGGGCTTGGTGCCAGAGAGGGTGAGTGAAAGGGAAGCATTTAAGACTCTCTAGGTCTCTGGCAGGTGGGCTATGTGGTATCAGTTATTCTGAAAGGATCGGGACACCTGTCCAAGCCACCTCTAAAAGCTCAAATATTTTAAATGTTTGCATATACTCTAATGTATCATTTTTATCTTACATTTTTTGAAAAGCTTGGTGTAAAAATTATGCTTCAGGAAGATGCCCCATATTTATTCTATGGTGTTGAGTAACCTAAGCCACACACCTGTGAAATAAGAGTACCTCCTTCAGCAAAAAGCATTGGGTTAATGTAACTCCAGAGCAAAACGATAGTGGAGAAAAAAATGCAGAATGAGTGGCCTAATACTAAACAACACAAAAGCAAGGTCAGCAAAGAAATGTCTATTTCAGGAAAATAGATTTGAAAGCATTTGTCTCCTGAAATACAGCTGAGAAATTGGGGAGATATGTGAGAAAGTCACAAGGGCATATTGACATCACTGGCTTCAAGAGGCCCTGCCTCCCCCTGTGCAGGACTGGGACATGTCCTTTTCACCCCGGGCGGGGGACGGAGCTCACTTCAGCCTCCCTTTGGGGTCCATCCAGCCTCTACAGCTTCACAAGCATAAGCCAGTTGAGATCAGGGACTCTCAGCCACACAGCTTCTAGCCTCCTGCCCCTGAGTCCCTTGGCCTCCTTTCCACTGGCCTTTAAGAGACAGATGCATGTCCCTGGTCTGGGGCAAATCCTTGTTACCACTCCTCCATCTACAGGATCTATTTCTGCCCTCCCTGGTGGCTCCTTGCCATATTTAGGTGTTCAAACATTGCCCAGTCAGAAAACTGCACCCCCAAGCCCCCATGCTTCCTTCACCTTCAAGATCACCAGCTCCAGAGAAGCCCTCAGTCCACAAGCCCACCCAGTTCCTGCCCCCACCCCTCCTACACAGACTTGCCTGGGTAACCGAAACCTCCCAGCTACCCAGTCCTGAGGGCATTTTCCTCATGGCTTCTGAAGACACACTGGCCTTGAAATGCTTTCTTCTCTTTAGGGGTTGGGCCTCAGCTACTCCTGACTTCTGCCCCTTTCTGCCCCTTTGTCTTGGTTGCAGTTTTCAGGGTTACATTTGTGGCTCTTCTATCTTACAGCAGGATACATTTTCCCCAAACAGTGCCATCCTGATCCACGCCTTTAAGTAGTTTCCTCTGCTGGTGGAAAATACCCTCCCTTCTTCCACTGGTCAACTCCTCTTCCCTTGGGACTGCGCTGTCGTGTCAGCCTAGGTGTCTATCCTCCGCTTCACAGACACATGCTCTCCGGTCTGTGCTCCCTTCCCGTCTTGTGAACCCCTCCATGTCAAAACTTGACATACTTGATGCAACCATTTCACATTCTACCCCACTAGACTAGGACTGCTTGAGGGCAGAAATGGGGATAGTGCCTTGCCCACCGGAGCTAAAATGAACAGGAACACTGTAGTTCTGAGCCTATGCGGGAACTTGAGTATGTTTTCATCCAAAACGTTTTCATTAAAGTGTATATATGTGTTTACTTATGTCGAAAAGGCAATATATTTACATGGTACAAAATTCAAAAGGTATTCAGGGTTCAGAAGCCTGCCTCCCAGCTTTGCCCCTGAGGCCCTGCATTCCCCTAGCAACATTGTTAACTCTTTTCTTGTGAATCTTTCCATGTACATTCAAGCCTTGCCCATGTTCCTTTCGTGTACCCTATTCCGGGCACCCCCACCTTCCGCTGGAGGTTATTGTCTTGAAACTACGGCTTCCGGCTCCTTTCGCGCGTCTGCAGGGCCTCCCCCCGCCGGGACGCACTTTTCACTCAGCCGCCGCAGCGCGCGCCCTGACCCCCCTGGCGGCAGCGGCCGCG